GCTGGTGGCAGTCATCTTGCTTTTCTTTAGGCTTTTTTTTTTTCTTAGACCCATTTGCATCTGAACTACCTGTCACTTAAGACAGTGAAAAGTAACGAGCACTTTTCCACCACTAGAAAACAAATTGTGCTCTAAAAGGCCTGTTTCCTTTGGGAATTGGAGGAGGGACATACAACTTCAGGGGCAAGTGTTGACAGCGCAGATGTCTAAAGTAGACCAGAGGACTCTTGTCCTCATTCTCTCCACCAGTATGTATAGTAGGTGCAAGTTTATCATTAAAAATGTATTCCTCCCACCTTCCCTCCCATGCAGACAGTACATATACCTAGGATTGAGGGCTTAAAGCTTTTGCAGATTTGGCCCTTGCACGGCAAGAGTTCTTACAGTGTTGTGCTGAGGAGAACGTGGAGGGGTTGGAGGAGCAAGCAAGCTTCCTCCTCCTTCAGACTGAACAGTTTAGGTAAATAAAGGGTAAGTGCTGTACACATCAGATGCTAGACCATGCACGTATTCAGGACTAGAAGTTAAACAAGTATGGTATTCGGTAATGTCATTTTATTGGCCTGTTAATAAACTTTGGTTCTGATATGGAGACAGAAGGCTGTACACCAGGTGTCTGCAGATATTCTAAACAGCGTGTCCTAGATTGAGTACACACTTTCATGCCTTCTCAGAAAGTGAGCATTTTTATAACCAGCTAAACTAATTCTGTTTGTACGCCTAGAAATATGGCAGCGTAGGGGAGATGAGAAGCAAACGGGAAAAGGAGAGGCATGCCTGTGTATTTGCTGTGTTAGAGGGGAACAGGGATTAATCCCTCTGTAGTACCGTAGCGTTTTAGCCTGATGTAGACAGGCAGTTACCCTGATGTGGTGGTATTCGCTGTTAACTTTCTATTTGAGTAGTGCTTTGTTTTCTTTTGGGTTTGTTTTTATTTTTGTTTTATTTTCTTGGCTAAAGTGAAAAGAGAGAAAAGCCTTAAACCAGTGTGGGGCAGCTCTTGAGATAAGTGTGTTCGAGCTGTCTGCAAAACTGCACACCTTCTTTTGAAAGCCACAGCCCATCAGCTCCTGTATGGTGTTCTGCTGAGGGTGTAGGTGGTGTTGCATTTTTAGGGTAAGACGAAGGATTGACAAATGCTACTGATTTAAGGTGAGAAGATAGTTGTTTTGTTGTTTGGTGGTTTTTTTTCCACCTTGTCTCTTTTCTTGATTCCAGAATCTGTCCCTAATGGCCATAAATAGGATAACAAGTTTGGCTGCATCATGCTTCGTATGTGTGGGCTATGTCACGGTTTGAGGCTGGGCCAGCCACTAATGAATGACAGACGCTCTCTATTAACCCCTCTCCCCTCCCAAAAAGGAAAAGGAGAGAGAACAAGGGAGAGAGACTTTACGGTTTGGAAAAGAAAACTAAAACAGCTTTAATGAAACAATAACAATAAAAGAAAAGATAATAATAAGAATAAGGAAATAATGAAATATATACAATATGTACAAATATATACAAATAGATACAAAATCAATGCTGAACCCAACTACCCCCACCCTGATGACAATTCGTCACCACTGATGCTGCAGGTCTGGCACTGGGGCAGTCCC